ATGGGAAGGCATTTGTTATAGGTATTTTGTAAAATGAACTGTTTACCATTCATTATCAAGAATATGACATTTATGTTAGTACAGGAGAACCAACTTCACAGTCTAAGAAAAAGAAGGGGGGAACTATCCTCTTGATTTGGGCACCATTCTTGTCTTATTTTATTGTTTATCATGTTTTCCATTAAAAAACTCAAAATGTGGAACAGAATATATGGCATGTATTAATAGCCTTTATAATTGTAGCAATGAACACAGAAATGTGATGGTAATATGAGAAATGTGAAACCATGCTTCAAACTGTTATGTTTCTCGTATACATGGATGGCTGCATGCAGACATGCATACACATCTTTTCATTTCAGAGTCCTGGTTCATTTCCAACTGCTTATTTAGGGCTAATCAACCCTGAACAGGAATATTATAACTCATTGCAAAATGTCCTGTGCCTGTTTCTTGTTCTCTTGCAATATGTATGCAAGTGATTGCAATTAATGTAACTGTCATCGAGAGAAGTAAATCAACTGTAATCCAGCAACTTAAGACTTTATTTCTAATTTGACCCTCAGAGCTCAGCAATTTAGTCTCCTGAGAAAAACAATGAAAGCATGACACCTACTTAGTTGTCTAAAGACAATAAAAATCTCCATCAGGTCTTCTATTGAGTCTACTGGATCCTCCAATATAATAACTAGATCATCTGCAAAAGCTTGGAGATTAAAAATATGACCTCTTACTTTTGGTCCTTTTATTTCCTTTTTATCTCTAATTTGCTCAGTTAATATTTCTAGAGTAAGAATGAATAGTAACGGAGAGAGTGGGCACCCCTGTCTTGTACCTTTCTGTATTTGTATTTCTTTCGTCAGCTCTCCAGTGATTCTAACTTTTGGCTTTTGCTGGGTATAGATTGCTTTAATTATTTAAAAAATCTGTCTCCAACTTGCAACACTTCCAATTGGTGTAGCATAAAATTCCAATTCAGATTATCAAAAGCTTTCTCTGCATCCAAGAATATCATAGCCATTTGCTTTTGTGGGTGAGCTTCATAGTATTTGAAAGTATTTAAGATTATCCTTATATTATTTTTCATCTGCCTTTTAGGAAGGAAGTCCGATTGGTCTTGATGTATTGTCTGTATTAAGATTCTTTTCAATCTAGTTGCCAACATGGTTGCATATCTTTTGTAATCCACATTTAGTAATGAGATTGGTCTGTAATTTTTGATTTCTTTACCCTCCGTGTTTTCCTTATGTATGAGAGAGATCATCGCTTCAGACCGCATTGGTGGCAATTCTCCCTTTTCTTCTACAAATTCCAAGAGTTTCTTATACAGTTTAAGCAATACATTTTTAATTCTTTGTAATATTCAGCTGGAAGACCATCTGGGCCTGGTGATTTCCCATTTATTGCTTTTTGAGGTCTATAATTTCTGCACATGTTAAAGGCTCATTTAAAGACTGCATTTGATCTTTAGTCAGTTTCATTTTATTGTATATCAGTACATATTCTTTCTGAGATTCTTCATCTACTTCCTTTTTACTGTACACATTTTGGTAGAAGTCCTCAACAATCTTTTTTATTTCTTCTTGTTTTACTTTCTCAGTCCCTGTTTCATCTTTCAGGGTTTGTATTATTGTTTTCTCCTTCTCTTACCTTACTTTATATGCAAACCATCTCCCTGGCTTATTTGCATCTTCAAAAACATTTTGCTTGGCGAATTTAAGCTTCTTTGCAGTTTCCTCAGTGAGCAATATATTTATCTGATGTTGTAGTAACTTTATCTTCACTTTCACTTCTGTATCTGATGGATTTTGTTTCAGCTGTAGTTCATCTGAGGCTAATCTATTTTCCAAAATCTTATATTTTTTCTGTCTTTCTCTTTTTTTGTTTTGATGCAAATCTTATGGCTGCTCCTCTAAAGAATGCCTTACTTGCCTCCCAAACCATTGTCATTGGTGTTTCTGGTCTCATGTTCTGTTTGAAGAAGAAGTCCATGTCTTCTTTTATTTGCTTGATAAACTCCTCATTTTTAAAATGTGAATTATTGAGCTTCCAATCAAATTCTCTTGATTTGCTACCCAGTTGTAATGAAATGGGACTGTGGTCTGGGACTGTGGAATTTTGGTGATATGGCAGGAATGAAAATAAACCAAAAGAAAATAAAAATACTTGTTAAAAATATGAGAGATCAAGAACGACAGAAATTGATAGAAAGGACTAACTTTCAATAAGAGAAGAGAGTCAGATACTTAGGGATCCAAATAAGATCCCTATGTATCTGAATAGATTCAGGGATCTGATTCTGTATAAAGAGATACAGAATAGCTTGGAGAGATGGGACAAATTACAGCTGTAGTTGATGGGAAGAATAGCAACCATCAAAATGAATGTTCTACCTAAATTTTTATTTTTATTTCAGGCAATTCCCATAATATTAAAACAGTCATTTTTTAAAGAACTTAACAAGATAATCATGAGATTTGTGTGGCAAGGTAAAAAAAAAACCAAGAGTTAAAATCAAAGCAATGCAAGATGCCAAACAAAGAGCAGGTTTTGGTCTCCCAGATTGGGTATTGTATTACAGAGTCTGTGTACTAGTCTGGATAAAGGAATGGATAACTTTAGATAATGATAAACTACTTAAGTTGGAAGGACATGATTTACAGTTAGGTTGGCATTCTTTTCTATGGTACAAAAAAGATAAAGAGCAGAAAAGTTTCAACTCTAATATGATAAAAAGCTACTAGGGACTTGGAAAAAGATTGTCCAGCAGATTTACCAAAAAACACCAGGCTGGGTATCACCTATAGAGGACTTTACATAACCTAACCTCATGACAGAGCAAAACTTTTAAGATACCAAGATCTATTAAAAAATGATTGTTACTTAAGGTCCAAAGAAGAGTTAGAAATACAAAATATATATGTAGACTGGTGGTCCAGAGCACAAGTGGAATTTAGGTATAGAAAAGATAAAATAATGACTAAACAACAAACTTCTGATTATGCTGTACAAAAATCTCCAGATTTGAATCTTATTATTGGGTACCTGGCTTGGCTTCTGAAGTTTTGTTATGCTTATAGATCTGACACCATTCTTCCACTAACACATATCATTGGATTTGTTCATATGACATGATAAACCAAGATTAGACATGGGGATGAATATAAAAACAAATCAGGGTATTCGTTAAATATCCCTGATTCATCAGATATTCATTGCTTCATATTCTTGAGGTCCAGAGACCTCAACGAATACAAAGCAACGAATATAACCCTTTTATATTAGTCCTTTCGTTCCCTATCTGCTTTTGCCCCTGCACATCATCTGTTCTTTGGGAGCATAAGCAGAGAGGGGTTTTCCTTTTGGGCAGCTTGCTAAAGCCACTCAGAGTGGTCGCATAGACCAGATGGGCGGGATACAAATCAAATCAAATCAAATCAAATCAAATCAATCAAAATCAATCAATCAATCAATAAAGCCTGAATGAAATCCCACCCCTGTGCCTGGGGGATGGCTTGGTTCCCCTTTCCTCCTCTTCCTATGCCCACAGGGAAGGGACCAAAGAGGGCTCAAAGGGATCCCCCAGCTGTTGCGGGATTGCTTTGATCCCTGAAAAAATGTGTGTTTATATGTATTATCCTAAAAACATGTAGTTCACAGAGCAAAAACATTACTGTCAGCTAATCTATAATCTTAGAATTTTAGAACTGCTCAGTTGAAATGTATTCTGTGGATCATCAGGTCCAGCCCCTGTCAAGAAGGCACAATGGGAAATTAACTCCCAACGTGAGGTTCCATAGCCAGATACCTAAACTACTGAGCCATCTAATATTAACCCAAACAGTTGTCCTCAGCAATCAAGGTCCACTTCTCTCCTGAACTGAGAAGTAGGCTTTGGCCATAGCTATGGAGGAAATACATTTTGTTACATACAAAAGACTCAATGAAACTAGTTCTCATACCTCTCATGAGGGGGGAAAATGCACCCTGGAATGAGAAATCACCAGCTTGTAAAGATTTTAAGACATTCCTGAGAAATAAAGTACACACAAAATGGTGTGCACATTTTAAAACATGAACAGTTAAAATGCATCCAAGTGGGAAAATATACACAAACACATTTTAATCAAATACATAAATTAAATAAATTCATAAGGAAATGTACATATGAAGAAGAATGAATACAAACTTACAGAAAAATTACAGTTTGGAATGAAAAGGTAGAGGCAAAGTCTCACAATCTGACATTAAAAAATTAAAGGGAATGAAGGTTATTATAGCACTAAACTTCACTTTCCTACTGCAGTCACGATAAGTTGTACAATACTATAATACCACTGATGATATAAAAGCTTTAGCAAGTTACAGTTTCAAGTTCTGAAAAAAAACTTATCTGTGTTGGAACAGAGGATACACATAAAAGAAGGTAGATGAATAGATGCAATGGTGGTTTTTGTACAAACAGCCTTAGAACATTTTCCTTTCAGCAAAACAATGGTAATCTTTTTTAATAGTGGTGTCAGTTTTGTGATTAAATGATGTTTTGTATGAAAATGAGACAACGTCCTTTTTTTGTTTTAGCTTTCCACTTACAAAAAATTCCTCTCCAATGTGATGAGAGTAGCTCTATCTCTAAGGACATCCCTGAAGGGCAATGGGGACAAACATTATTTTACTTGGATTTTAATAATGTCAAGTACATGACTAAAAGTTACTCTGCTCCTTTGAAATGAAAGCTTTGATTTTAATCTTTTGCTATTTTGTGGTGTTTGGTTTGATTTTTCTTATGTAAACCACTTTCATGGTCCTTGTTCGGGTCAAAAAGTGGTAGAAAAATGTGTTTATAAATAAAATGAAAATTCTGAGGAACAGTACGATAACATCAATTTTTACTACAACTATGGAAACCTGGATTTGTACACACCTGCAGCTCTTTCAGTAAAAAACCAAGGCTGGAACATCTTTCAGGAGTGGTTTTGACTCTGTACTCCTCAACTCACCTTCCGGCCCTTCCTGAGTATTCGACCAAGACTAGGATTCATCACAACTATTGCCCCAAGCGTGGAGCCAGAATATTGTGTATGTGTGGTATAATCAAAAACTGTCATCGGGGCCAGCAGAAATCTCCTGGTTCTTGAAGGGTTTTACACGTTTGCCTAAGAAACAAACACATATCAGGTACTAGGATGATATAAAACAAAATTGGGATTAGTGGCAGAACAATTTGCTTATAAAGAAAAGTGTCTTTAAATGTCTCAGACAAATATAAGGTGGTTGTTACTGAAACGAAAGTTAGAGAAAATATTGCTCTTCAATATTAATAAAATGCATTAAATATTGATATAAAACTCGCATCAGGTTAACAATTATATTCATTGAATTAAAGAAACCTTTAAAGTTAAGTCATTAATTCAATAATTCTAACACAAAAAAACTGACTGAGAGTTATTTGCTAATAATGTTTATTTAAAATACAGCAATTATGCAACGCATTTAAAACAAGAACCTCACCACCACCCCAATATTGATAAAACTATCAATAAACTTTACAAACAAATCCAGTAGAAAAAAAAACGTGTAACAAGAGGGTCAGCAACTAACCTCAGACTGTCCAAATAAATAGGGCTTGCAGTACAATCTTGTGCATGTGCGCTTAGAGCTTAATATGCCCCACTAAGTTCCATGGGCTTACTCCCAAGTAAGTGGGCAAAAGACTGCAGCCTTTGCCAGAATGTGGCAGCAGCACTCACAAAATATGCCTATGTATTAGTTATTCCATAGAATACAGGGAATGAGGGAATAACTAATACATGGGCATATTTTGCTCATTTACCTTCTCACAAAATCCACAAGCATCTGAAATCCGAACAATACAATACAAATAGTTTGACACTGGAAGTTGAAACCTGACAATGTGCCAAAGATGTGATCTAGACAGAGCTTTGAGACTGGGTATTCTTGCTTGCAAGCAAAAGAAGCTAATCTGCAAACTATGAAAGGTGTGAAAACCTCCTGCTATGACAATCGGATGTTCTGAGCACTTACAGAATTTTCTCTTCTGATGTAAGGCTATCTTGTAGCTTATGGTTTGGTCCTTATTTGCCCACATGCCTCATGAACAGGAATTCTACCCAAATTCATTTCCACTAAGGATACCAATCAACTATTCTGCACACATACATTCAGATGTATTCTTTAGTTACTATAGAAGAGATAACTGCTGAATGTACATGTAGGAAGCTCAACCAGACCTGTAAGATCTGCCTAAAAGTAAGTCACCAGAGTTAGGTGAGAATCTATACGAATGTAATTGCAATCCCTGCATCTATGCTGCATATCAGGACACAGAGAGCCTTACACCAATAATAAGTACTCTCTGTTTTCCTACTGTTAATTATCATTTTGAGAAATACTGAGCGAGTTCCTGTAAAGATTAGTGTAAGCATAAGAAACTGCAGTTTTGAAAATAATATCTGCCTATTTTATCTTAGAGGTTAAATGCTGTGCAGTATCTTCAAAGAGACAGTTGTGTGGCAATGAAAGCATGATCTTCAAGGTGAATTAGAAAATGAATATTCTGGTACTTTAACTGGAAGAAAGGGAAAGTTGAATTACAAGATGCTTACTGATTAGTTGAGGGTGTTTCGAGGTTTGCTTTTAAAGGAAATGTTCTCATTATGTTATAAATATGAACCTACAATACTAAAACTCATTTATATAGAGTAAATTTGAAAACAACATCTGAAGAAAAAGGAACATCTGAAAGGAAATGACAGTACAATAGCATAACAACTTCAGCAATATGAAGCTACACAAACAAGAAACAACATGACTACATCATAGCATTCTCAACAAGACACACATTTGATACAGCCTTTCTTCTACATCTCACACAAATATATGTACTACAAACAATTAATACTCTCTGGAGCCCACTGTTCTCAGACCCACACTGTGGAATGATACTGCTACATTTAATAAACTGAGAGGTGATTTGCATTAAGAGATTGGTGGGTGTCCTTCACAGACAGAAATCTGCTTGTGAGTTATGCAGTGCTGTGTGCTCATTTCTGTTCTCCATGTCCACATCATTCTCCTGCAGCAACAAGCACAGCTTGCCTAACTTCTTGCTGTTTTAGAATTAAACAGGAACATTCTGCACATGTACAAGGTGCAGGCAAGGTCAGAACTTCTCCTCATACCAAGGTAAGCAACAGTGAAGGGAGGACATCTCTGAGGACTAGTCTTAATTTCTCCAAAACATAGGCAATATAGGGTTGCCAGTACTGTATCTCCACAAGTCCTGGCGCTTGAGAGGAGGGAAATGGGTGTCTAGAGAGGTTGGACAATTAAAAGGGTACTCTTCAAAGTGGGTGGGGGAGAGAGACAACCAAAGAAGACTCTTAAAAACACTGCATGTTTCTAATGTCACTTTTTTCTACCCCTTCCTTCAAGCAGAGGCAGGATGCCTCATAAAATGGAGGGCAGAACACCTATAACTTTACCAGTTTTGAAGAAGAGGGGTGTACAACAGGTGTGCTTTGTCATGCCATATGTACTGGCATTTTCTTCCTTCTCAGCTGTATAGGAGCTCTGTCCACCATTTCATGTGGCCCCACTACATAGAACAAGTTTGTGAGACTGGGGAGTTCTTGCTTGGTGGCTTTTGGACTCTCGTTGCTCAATACTTCATGGCTGACTAGAGAGTTGAACTTTGTCTCATGAACACTAGGCCAACATTAAAACACAAAACTAAAAGTAGGAAGCATGCAGTGCCCCCCCCCAAAAAAAAAACAATGGGAGAATAATCTCTCAAGAGATTGTGGTTATTCTCCAAAATAAGGTGAGTTCCACATACCTTCTTTTAGCAAAAAAATGTTTGGGGAAAAAAACTGGGGGGAAAAAACCAGACAACGATATTTATTTGTTTGCTTATTCTTTGAAATATAAAATTACTTTCTTGCCCTTTCTCTTTTCCACTGGAGAGGCTGCAGTAACCCTGGAGGGTGGCAGGCCTAAAAAGATTATCCCAGAGTTTGTGCATCCCTTCACTACACCATGCTAGTTCTCCAAACACTGCTTTCTATTTTAAAAACAAAGGGAAATTGTTTCAAGCATCTCCTACTCCTAATACTGAGGGTGATACCAGTAATAGGCTGGATGGTTGTAGCTTAATTCAAACAACAGGTGTTCCTGCTCAGCATTTGAAGACTCTGATACTTTAAAGCCTCTGGTTCACAATTTAGGCATACTTCTGAATTCATTCTTGAATGTGAATGCAAGTAAAATCTCTTGGGAATCCAACTTCCTCTACACTGAAATGGTGAAACTGCAGGCTGTTTCACAGAAGAAATGTGTGAGGAAATAGCTGGATATATCTCAATTTCATTATTTCTTTTATAAATATTTGTCTGTACCTTCCAGCTAAAGATTATAACATTTAGATTCATTATATGCTAAAACAAGACATCATAATGAAGACTGGATAAGTTTGTGCTTAATGAAAAATGCCATTGCTGTAATGAACTGAAGTATACTTATTACAATATGGGGTTTTTGTTACTAAAGATATAACATTGTGCTATATAGTGAAAGCCCAAGTTTCTGTCTAGTAACAGTGACTGAAGAATCGCCAAGCCAACATGTGCCACATTTCCAGTTGTCATATTTAAGCGAAACCCTAATTCTCAACCATAGTAGAGCCAATGGCTGAAATCCTGTTGGCATATGTTTTCACTGTGCAACATGGATGCCATCATCATCTGGTGATTAAAATCTTTAATTTACTTACATTTAAAACAGTCTATCCTCCCACCCTAGCCAGAACCTACCAGAAGTCAGCTTTGGCCAAAAAAAGTTCTCAGAAGAGATCCAGGATATATCGCTGTTCCATGCCAAGGAAAAACAGACTGAGGTTGGGAGTTCAGTTCTCCACTGAGCTTCCTTGACAGGGCCTGGACTTGATGATCCATAGGATCCCTTCTAATTCTGCAGTTCTAAGATATTATTGTATTAGGAGTCTGACAGATTTTTGAGAGGCATCTACTACAGTGTCTGATGAACAGAGAAACTACTGTCTCCTAGTGCTTTGTAATTAACATGGATCTTAGAAAGCTCCATCAATGTCCTTTTCCATGCTTGATAGCTGCCACTGCAGAGAGAACCTTGGCAGCTATTAAGCTGCATATCTTGATACTCCCTTAAGATCTTGGATTTTTCAGCTAAAGCTATCAGAATTCTAGCTGGGGGAGTTCCTGCCGAATTCTGATAGTGATAATGAAACAAAATCTGAAAATTCCATGCCTAGATAGTTACTTGGTGTGCTCTGTGCAGCTGAGTCATCATGATCACAACAACAGAAAAATAGAGATGCTTTCCTGCCCCCTCTAGTGGGCAATTCTGATACTGTATTTTGCAAATATTCAGAAATATATATATAAAATATGAAAACAAAGATGCTACTAGGGATGTGCTACTCGGTATTTTTGGACGACAACTTCCAGAATTCTCCAAAATTTAGCCAGACAAAATTCTGAAAGTTTCAGCCCAGAGATCCAAACTTATAGACATTTATGAGCTCCTACATTTTTGCTCATCTGGATCAGGGCTTAGGATCTGAGGCTGCATGGCCTAGCTCTGGCCGTGCTCACTGTCATTCCCAGTCCTTAAGATCATAAGAGGAGTCCATCAATTGCAGGCATGTTCGATGGGGACACAAGAAAGGGTCTTCCCTGTGGCTGCTCCCAGGCCAACCTAAACTCTCTCCCTCAAAATGTTGGATTGACCCTCTCTCCCTTTTATCCTACCACCCACAACAGAAGACCCACCTCTTCAGGCAGGCATTTAATAATCATAACTGAGGCCTTGAATGCTGGTTTTTAGTGGAGTAAGCTTGTTTTTAAAGTTCTAAACATTTAATCATTCAGTGTATTTTAATTACTACTACAGTTCGTTTTAATTTATAATTTATTATGTTCTAATTTTAAATTTTTTTAATAGCATGAGCTGCCTTGACTCCTCCCGTCAGGAGGAAGACAGCTTATAAATGAGACAAAGAAATGAAGTACAAAAAAAGAAGCTGCAATGGTTCTTTTCCAGAGTCACAGTATTGCTGCACATTAGGCTCTATAAAGGATGCTTCCTGAAGAGGATCTCA